AAACCAATTACTTTCCTTTCCTTTCCTTTTTCTTTCCATTTTCCCTTTTTCTCCTGTCCTGTCCTGTCTTGTCTATAGTCTATAGTCTAGTCTTGTCTTGTCTCTTTATCATTGGCCTTTCTTTTCTTTACCCCACTGCGAGACTTATACCTCCCAGAACCAAAACGAACCGTGAACCGAACCAAAAGTCCATGAAAAAATACTTCTACAACCAAACCGAACCGATTCGAAGTTTCAGTTATATAAACATTCAAACCGATTCCAACCGAACCGAAACCTTACTGAAAATAGCGGCTGCATAGCTAGGCACCACGTACCCACCACTTGGAGAGGGGTGGGCTCTACTTGTTTTGGCCTGGATAACCTGGACATTGGTGTATGGAAGGGGTGGTGCGATATGCTCCACGAATTGGCTACTTAACCCCAAAGAAACACTATATAGCATCATCATTATAGCAAACATCCACCTTAGATCGCTTAGTCAAATTATATAAAGAATTCAAGTTTGGTACTGGTTGTCTGATCTGATCATCATAGGAACCAGGGGTAAAGTCACTGCCCACAAGGACCTACAAGTAGTTGCTTGCTCTTACACAAAGCTGCAAAGCTAAGGGAGTGGCTGGGTGATAAATAAAACTGTTGATATAACATTGAAAAAGACCTCACCTTGGCTTCTCCAAGACAAACCTCCAAGCAAATCCAATTGCCAAGCAAGCTACCACAGCATCACCCACATGTCGGATAGTGTCAGACTCTGCCGTCACAAGGAAGCTTCCCAAGTGGGTGCTTGGGGTATGACTCGCATCGTCCAAGACCCCACAAACCAGGAGTGAACGGGTCCCATTGGCAAAGTTCAATGAGAGCTGTGGATGCCGAGCAGTGTAAATGCCAACCCCATGGGCACTGCCATGGCTGACTTTCAAGTTGTTCCCATACCCTGGGATCAAAAGCCCCTTCTTGAAGATGGAATTGAAGTTTCGCACTGAGGTGCCATGGTAGGTTGCAATCAGTTGTCCCTCCAGCTCTTCGCATGCCAGTGAGAAGTCCTGCTGGAGGTGGACGGCCAAAGGCGCAGGTCGCAGCATGAGTGGAGTACAAAAAGTACGCCTCAACATGGAGCAAAAGCCAGGACCATGCTCCTCTAAGAACTTCCGGCGGAACTGATCAAAGCTGGACAAGCTGCTGGGGCGAACCTTGCAGCCCATTTCGCTCCCGCGGCCAACCTTGGAGATCTTGGAGCCTCCTTTCACCTTCTCCGCCTCCTCCCATAAAACCTTGGTCTGGTAATCCAAGCGAAGCTTGGCTTCGATGGAGCTTGGGCGAACCTCTGCTTTTCGCGCAGTGCTTCTGGGCAGCAGTTTTGGTGCCTTCGTCACTTGAGCTGCCAGAGGTGCCCCAGCAAGGCTTTGTGCCACGTAAGTCAAGGCAGTAAGCTCTGCCAGCTGCAAGGCTAACTCCCAAGGGCTGGCAGCCTCGCACTTGGTCGAAGGCTGCTTGGCCTCAGCATCCTTGAGAGAAGCTGTGGTGGCACAGGAGTGAACACAGGAGACAAAGGAACTCTCACTCTCACTCTCGCTCCAGTCATCCATGGCCAGCTTCACCTGGCACTGGTCCTCATTCGAGGTTCGTGGTGAGGCTTGGCACTCCTCGGCCTCGGTCAACTCCTCCGACCGTTCCCACTGTACCTCCAAGAGGTCCACACGGGTGGCTTCGCGCAAAGCACGGCGGCGCGTGCCGGGGCGCCACATCACGCCCCACTTGCCATACCACTCCTTGGAAGTTGCCCCATGGAGATCAAGTTAGATATCTTTAAATTGTTGTATCAAGGGACAATTCCACCAGGTGGGGAGGGGAGGTCCAGGGTAAAAAGCAAATGAAAGCAACACCTCAACAATTACAAGAGAGCGTGGGGGACACGGGGCCTGAGTTTCTCAGTGTTTTCACAATGTTCCTATAGCGTTGGTTCGCGGGTTTTGTGGACATGGTTCATGCGTGGAGCAGTACAGTTCCTGAGTGTTGTGTGCATGTAAAAGTCGTTGTGGGGAAGTCATGAATATGAATATGTATATATGTGCTCCTTTGAAGGTGTCCCCTTCCATATCCCATAAATTGAAGAAGCTGTTTTGAAGAGGCTCCTCCGTACAGTATTGGTTTGCTATCTACAAGTTTGCCTCTTTATGCAAACAATTTCTCTTGGCGAAGCCTTCAAAGCTTTTTTTTTGCAAAACAAAATTAGTTTATTAATGCGGTTTGTGAGACACCTGTTCCACCTACAGTACAGTACATTCCTTAATCAATGCAATGTTACTCTGGTGAATGCCAGTCTTGGCACGGGCACCATGCTTCAAGACCATGTGCTTGAAAGAACACCACCCGCGTACCTTCAAGGACAAATGTGTGTCCAAATGTCCACTACAGTTGCAAAATTTACATAAAGATGTCTTCAATGTCTTAAAAAACGGAGCTTATTTCAAGAACAGCGCCTGCTTTTCCCCCCAGGAAGATCTCTTCTCTTAAGTGTTCGATTCCGTGACGAATCAAAAAAAGGATTAAAAAGGTGTCTTTCACAAAAAGGTGCAGCTTTCAAACAGAATGCCTTGAGTAAAACCACCTGCACCTAATTAAAAGTCACCGAATGCATAGAAGATCAAGATGAAGCAAGCATAATGATGCAGGCATGCATGCCTTTCAAACACATCATGCTCCCACAGTTGAGTTAAAAAGAAAGGGGTGGCTCCGGGAGGGTCAGCGTTAAAGGTCCATCCCACCACCCGGAACCTGAACAGCCCCAGACTCGGGGGACCCGCAACGCAAGTCCCGGCTCCGCGCGCTGCGTTTGAAAGCGCTGCGGCCACGCAGCACTTCAGACCTGGGCGTCGTTGAGTTCACTTCGCATGTTCAGGTGGCTGGAGTGCATCCACCAATCAAAGATGAACCCCTGCAAATTGAGTAAGTGAAACGAACCGAGCTTGCAAGTTTGCAAGGCTTTTGTGAGGGCATTGCACTCACCTCCCAGCCAAAGCAACACCTTGAGTCTCAATAGATCTTAAAACATCTGAACACCAAGTGGCCCTTGACCCTGGATCTCTGCCCAAATGGCCGCTTTGCCCCTCTTGGGCTGTTGCAGGCGCTTCCGAGTGCCCTTTCGGGCCGCAAAGCCATCGCCCCGCCAATCCCGCAGCGCCAGACGATCAGACTCCATGGGTGCGTGGAGCCGTTTGGGGCAAAACAGCTGTCAGCCTGCCATGCCTGTCTCCTTCGCGAAAGTATCGCAAAGAGTTAGCAAGTTGGAGGGTCATCCCAGCCAAATTGCTTCAAAAGGGGTGTTGGACGTGTATCCGCACATTGTCAACCAAACCCGCTGAGGTATCTGGAGGGTTGAACTCGGGTCCAAGTCAACGACGCACGCCCTCATATATGGACAAGGCCTGCAAGCCACGTGCGGGACCCTGAAGCTGCATGCAGCCGTGCACGAACTCTTCGATCGATATCCTGAGCGATGATCAAGAGAAAAATGCATGCACTGCCGCGCCCTGCAAACCAATCAACATCAATCAACCATCTACAGTGGTCAGCACTGACAAAACCAATAGTCCATAAGTGATGTCAATGATTGATTCTGTAGCACTCACCATCTAACTCTGGAGTCGAGTACTACCCATGGACTCTCTGGCCGCCTCTGGAAGGCTGATTTCCTCTACAAAGGGTTTCCCATTTCGAGAATCCAGGACGGTTAGAAAAACCTTATTTGGGCCCCTGCAGAGTATGACGGATCGGCCACAGGGTTGTGATGGGTTGTGAAACGATGCGAATCTGCTGTAGGGAAGATCCTACGCCCTGCCTACAAACACCCGTTTCTCTTCGTGTTTTTTCTCGGTTTCAAGGGTGTTGTCTCGGTGAAAAGGTGGCAGGAGAAATCGGCCATCTGATGAATCATCAGCTCAGAAACCCATAGATGCATGGAAGGATGGCTGAAAACCCTACCTTCTCAGTCCTCAAATGACTTTTCTTGATCCGACCTTACCAGTCCAAATCCCTAGAGTGACTGGTGCTCAAGGCCGGTCAACCAACCATCTGGATGCCCTTCCGACTTGAACGGAGTCATGAGGGAAGGAAGTGCCGGACATGCCTGGTGTGCGCCAGAAATCCCCTCAAGGCAGCCTAGAGGATCCCCACTGCCATCGGCATCCACCGTCCTTGGCAAGAAAAGCAAAGGGATTGAGCTTGTGTCTGTGAAGATTGTGGAAGATGGAATGCCTCGGCTCCAATCTGTAACTCTAGTGGATCAGCTTCGCGCCTTGGATGGTACACTAAGAAGTCTGTGTTTTGTGTAGGGTTCCTTCATAGTTCCAGCCACATGAGCTTCCAGCAATTGCCATGCAAGGTGCTGGAAGCTCACTATGCTAAGCAGCTCACTGATGGTCCCTGATGGTCCCTGTCCTTCTTCCTGTTTGAATTCAATGGGTCACAGCATCGTCCGCCCCAAAAAACGAAACAAGGAACTTCCACCTCCAATAAACTCTTATAAATTGCCTTGAATTGTCAACTCGTCCCACCTCTTTGCCTTGATTGGGGTTCTGAAGCCCAAGGGATCAGGGGCCGCCCATTGACCCAAAATCTGGCCCAGTGGCATAAAGAGAGTCCAAACATCCTGGCTCGTCGGAGGCACCAAAAACGTGACAAACCGATGGCTGCCAGGGACAACCCGCCCCGGGAGGTTTCTGGCATGTGCTTGAAGAACTATAGACTATCAGGCTGCAACCCTTGTCATCCTGTTTTGTGCAATTCCTGCGTTGCGTGGATCAAACGCATCTCTTTGGCACATATGCCCTGAAAATGATTAGAATGGCCTGCCCAGGGGTATTCACCACCCACATCTTGAAGATTCTGGCCTTGAACTATAAATACAAGATAGTATTATATAAATTAGAATATAAAAGTATATAGATGTATATATAGCAATCAGCAACGATCGCAGTTCACCACCAAAACGACCGTCGACGACCGTCCACGGGTCGGGTCCGTGCTCGGTCCCTCGAATCCCTCAGCACATCACCCGACCCTGTGCTGCAACAGGTCTGTCCACCGACATCCACCAACTCCCGTCTGTGCCGCGATGTGACTGTCGACACATGCCGTCTTGCGCTTGCAAAGGGTTGGTTCTCCGGAACAAGTGCCAAATGGGTGCCCGTGCCCTCCCGTTGTGATCCCAAGTGATTGGGTCTTCTTCCCGTCATCTGTCGCCCACATGTGCACGCGAAGCGCACCGCGAGTGTGCCTCTGTGCTGATGCCCATTGATTTCATGAAGCTCTCCATCTTTGCACAAGTGAATGCCTCCTGCCACGCATTTGGCCATCGGTTGGGGGCTAAACTCGCGGAGTCTCAAGCAAGCTGCCGACCATCGGGGGAGATGACTGGTTTCCACTGAGTTCTGGCGGCGGCCGGTTTTCCTTGTGAGCAATTGAGCAAAACCGATCGCCATCTTCCTCCCCAAGTGTTTGAAGGATTCTGCTCCTGAACGAAGGGGGCTGCTGTGATATTTTGTTGGTTTGTACCATTCTTCACCCTGAAGATCCACCGAAATGCACCCACACGAAGGCCTCCCTGCCAAAGCCCCCCAAGCTGATCTTACAGGGCCAAACGCGCCCTCCGTGGGATCCAAGGTGGAGCAAAATATGATCAACACAAGAAACCCCAAAACCACTGGTCAGTTCTCGAAGACCAACATGTAGACCAACATGTTGGAACATCTGGGAACAACAAAGGTCAAAGACCATGTGACCCTGCTAAGGGGTAGGCTATACTATAGGGTTGCTCAAACTCTCTAGGCAACGTCCACCCACACCTTGCCTTCAACTCTGCAAACGTAATCGTGTGCGAACTATCCACGTCAATCTCCTCAAAGATCTCCTGCGTCGATCTCTGCGACTCAAGTTTAGTCACATGTCGGGCAAAGACCGCTTCACAAGCCTGTGAGGGGGGGAAGGCCGGGAAGGCATGTATTACAAGTCTGGACAGCAGGATTGTGGCTTGGTAATGGCTTGGTTGATCTTTCTGATTGAGACATGCGTGAGCAACTCGTTGTAAAGAACAACACATATTCAACCAAGACTTAAACACTTAAGTCATGTGTAGCTGCAGCTAGTACTTAGGCCTGGCATGCACTTCACCGCATCGCCCCGGTCAAGCGAGCGGGCGGCCTTCAGGGTTTCCACCTGTTGATCTTGTTTCTTCATCTGCTTCATGATCGCTATCTCCTGGCAGGATCTGGAAATCACCTGACTGGGTGTATGTCTTGGGGGGAGTGGTGAAGTTGGAAGCATGTATAAGCATGGATAAGCATGGAGCCAGCCCCCTCCACATCCCATCCCTGAACATTGGAAAGCAAGAAAGGTCTTGAACGGCCCTAGGCCCAAACATTGACAAAGGTTCCTACTCAAAGTCACCAAACAGCTCAACATGTGGTGTTCCTGACATTGGGCAAACACTCATGTGGTGTTGTATGCCCAGAATCACCAAACACAATTCCAAACATGTGGTATGCCCGACATTGGACTCTTCACGCCAATGTCGAAGTCAACGGACGGAGCCAGCCAATACTTTCCACAAGTAACCTCCACACGGGTGTTTCTTCTGCAAGAGACAAGTGCCCGATATGTCTACCACTGAACCCATACCAAATATTGGCCTCTGGGTTTGGAAAACGACCCGTCACTCCAGTTTCTGAACCCGTCGTCGTGTTTGCACGTCGGTCTGTCCCGATCGGCCCCAGCACTTTCAATGGCCGTGTTGCAAAACCTGAAGATCCGGCAGGATCACAAATGATGAAATCAAGACAGCACTTTGCAGACACAAATGATGTGAATCGACACACGCATGGAAACCAAAAGACTATGTGATTATAAGTGTACAACGATGCACAACGTATGTGTGCGGCCCGTATGCATGCATAGAAAATCTTATGTATATATGTAATTCTCATGTACTATGTCTGGTTATGTCTGGTTGACTGTCTGGTTGACTGTCTGGTTGCTAACCTGGGGGTTCCTGCTTAATCATGCTAAATCAATTTGAGTAGGCCTTGGAGGCCTTCCAATGCTTTCAGTGTCGGACCTGGGACCTGGCTGGGAGGCCAGCAGATCGAGGCCAAAGAAAGATAAAGAACGCATTTTATATCTTTTCTCCATCTCAGGCGGTATAAACTTGTTAACAAACAACGTTAACAGGATAGCAATAGGTTGTCCATGAACCAAGGTGACCGAAATGGGATTTGTGAATTCGATGCGGCTTCTTTCAATACCACCTTCTTAATAGCCACAGTGCTATTAGGTGCCACATCAGGAACCCATGTCAGCACCCAAAAGGATCACACGGATCCGGATCTCGTGTGTATGACCCCAGCCACACACACACACACCAGCGGTCACCAGCGCTGTCCGAGGAGCACACCAGTCACGACCTTGGTCGATTCTGGCCGGCTTTATTGATCCAAGAAATCCTGAAAAAGCACCACTGGGCCACCAAATCTTGGTTCATACTAGGTCCGACCGCATCACATGGTCGGACGTCGTCTCCGCTCACGGTCTCAGTTCGTCGGATCAAACTCCGAGGAACATGTGACCACTCATGGACTCGGAGGGCCCAGGGGACTCCCCATGAGCCCAGGGGACTCCGCATGGGCCTACTCACTCCCCATGGACTCTCCCTCAAGTGGGTGGAACTCCGGCTAGGTCGAGTCTATAGCGCCACCCACTTGTCAGGTCGCAAGTGGATTGACCAGTGATCAAGGGCCTTTACCAACCTGCGTTCTGAAAACACCGTTGAAGATGTTGAACGGAGGTCTGATTTGCTGGGCCAGGTACCTTCAGGTAGCAGAATGACCAGGTGGAGGAACATGACAATGACCGGAAACACTCAGACATTGGCTGGCAGCAAAACTCGCCAACGATTCCTACAGGTCGAGACATGTCGAGACACTTGACCCCAAAAAGGTCGAGACATGTCGAGACACTTGAGATCATTCTTGTGAGCCATTTCTACCCAAGCCGTCCCGGAACAAGTCTTAACCAAGGCGCATTCAATATTGCAAAGACAGTGATGACCTGGTTGGGATGAAAGGCTTGGCGGCGTCTTGTAGGCTGTTGATGAAGAAATATGAAGAACATCTAATTACTCCCCTCCCCCATGTGCAGATGCATGCCTGTATGGAGATGTACGGCCATTCTTAGATCATTCTATCTAGTGGGTCTGTTTGAATGATCAGATGTCCACAGCCGAGCTCCATCCGACCTTCTAGATTCTAGAGCGCTCCACCTGTCTCCGTTTCTCAGACGATCTGCCCAAACAAGCCTACCCCGCTGAAGAGTGACATGGAAAATCACTGGTTCAGCTAGAGGCTGTGCATACGAAACGTGTGTCTCGGCCCCCGGTGATGCGGGGGCAGGCCACGCGAAAACGCGAAAACCGCGAAAACGGCGAAAACGGGAAAACGGCGGAAACAAAGTGCTTGGATTTGACACAGCTCACGGTTTTCTAGAACACCGCATCGGCGCGAAAACGCGAAAACGGCGAGTAGTTGGGGAAGAGTGCCGTGCCAAGTATTTGCAAAAGACCAGTTTCAGAAGAATGGAGAGTTGCAGAATAGGACTTTGTTCCTTTGATAATAAGCCTCAGTAGCACGCAAAAAGGAGAGTGTTGAAAACGTTAAACTGAGAACTAGACGACGGTTGGCCCGAGAGCGAGACATGTAATTGTCCAGCACTGTCGAAAAGATGTATAGAAAGAGAGAAAGAGAGGGTGGATGTGAAGGAGTGATAGTGTGGATGCGCAGGTGCAATATAGATTCTGTAGATGTATGGAGGTGGAGGTAGATCTGTGGATGTGAGCGTGCAAAGATGTAAATGCACAGAGACGAGAGAAAAGATATGTAGAAAGAAAGAAAGACAGGACAGATGTGAAGGAGCGACAGTGTGGATGTACAGATGTGATATAGATGTGCAGATGTGTGGGTGTGGTGCGGTGGAGAGGTAGATCTGCGGATGTGAGCGTGTGACGGTGTATATGTAGAGAGGTGAGGGGGTGTATGACGTAGATGCGTCGATGCAACGGCTGCGCAACGTCAACCTTAGCTGTGCAAGTACAATGCTGAAGAGGTTCAAATAGAACTGAAGAACGTACATTTCACACTGAAGTTTCCACGAGCAGGGCGACCTGAGAGTAAACGACGTGACGATCATGACAAGCGACTCGTGTATTCCAAGCGAACATCGTTTGTCATGAAGGTGTGAAGTACACACATACTAACGTCACGATGACTCTTTTGTGGCAGCCACTTATGAGTAAGCAAAGTAGCTAAAATTTGTCAACCTCTCAAGAGAGCCGGCTGGCGCCAGAGATGACTCAGCCGCGAGAGATGACTCATCCGCGTACTAAAGTTGTACTACAAAGTCGCCAGTTCTCAGCTTCCAGCTCCCCAGATACTCCGCGTCACAGCTTGCTCCGCGTACTAAAGTTGTACTACAAAGTCGCCAGTTCTCATCTTCTAGCTCCCCAGATACTCCGCGTACTAAAGTTGCACTACAAAGTCGCCAGTTCTCATTTTCCAGCTCCCCAGATACTCCGCGTACTAAAGTTGTACTACAATGTCGCCAGTTCTCAGCTTAAGACTCCACAGATTGCTCCGCGTACTAAAATGTTGTACTACAAAGTCGCCAGTTCGCATCTTCCAGCTCTCAGCTTCCAGCTCCTGCGATACTCCGCGTACTGAAGTTCTACTCGAAAGTCGCCAGTTCTCAGCTCCACAGATTGCTCCGCGCACTGAAGTTGTACTACAAAGTCCACAGTCCTGCAGAGGGTTGCGCCGGACAAACACAAATCGCACTCTCACCTGCATTTCGCGCACTCGACACGCACGATCTCCGCAGAGGGTTGTCCCGGACTGGGACAAATCGCACTCTCGCCTGCATTTCGCGCATTCGACACGCACGATCTCCGCAGAGGGTTGTCCCGGACCAGGTCAAATCGCACTCGCGCCTGCATTTCGCGCACGAACTAACTTAGAGTCCATCGCAAGCCCTTGGTTTCCAATCTGTCCTTGCGTCGCAAGAGCTCGTCGATTCCGCACAAGGAGAGCCATGAGGCATGCCACGGCTCTTCAGTTTGATGGAGAGGAATGGACGTCGTCTGATTCTTGTTTTTCTTTCATCCCTGGGTACCCTCTGGATAGACTTGGTCACGTTATCTGGTCGTTCATGCGTAGCGCCTGTGATGAGGTGATATTCCTTTTGGATTGGAGATTAAGATCATTCTGATTCACTGACCTATTTACTAAGATTCGTGAATTGAACTTAAACTTCAACCGTTGAGATTTAGTGCACAACTAAGGAGCATAATTGAAAACCCTCGACAGTGGCGAAGACCAAGAAAACAACGACTGCGCGAAGCCGACACAAACGGCGAAAACTACGAAAATGGCGAAAACGACAAAAATGCGCAAACGGGCGAAAACGGCGAAAGCGACGAAAGCGGCGAAAACGCGAAAACGGCGAAAACGGCGAAAACGGGAAAACGGCGAGAACGACGAAAACCGTTTTCTTGGTTTTCTCGTTTTGCCGGTTTTCTTGGTTGTGGTTTTCACGCTCAAAGGCAAGACAAGCAAGAAGACGTAAGCAAACTGGAAAAAGCTTCCACACGGGAAAACGCGAAAACGGTTTTCTCGGTTTTCTCGGTTTTCTGGTTTTCTCAGTTTTCTCGGTTTTGTCGTCGCATCGCGCGGGCCACGACGCAGGTTTTGTGTTCGCTAGAGGGACAGAGTCTTTCAAGGTGCTATTCGATCCGGGAATCCAGGTCCATGCTAGTTTTCAGAAGTGTAACACTGGTGACTGACCAGGTGAGGCCAAGTTGCCACGTAGATCATCACACTGACATAAGGCGTAGCCCCCACAGGCGGCAACGGGTGCAAAGCCTCTCCCCAACTCAGGCCTCCTGGACAGTGAATGATCAAAGGGAGGACCTCCCCAAACTTCCACACCGCTGCTGAAAGGGACAGAAAGCACAAAAAAATCTAGAAACCCTTGTGCTATGGGAATGCCCTCCTCTTCTATAATGCATGCGCCAGTCACACATAACTCATTTTGATTAATTTAATTTTGAGGCTTGGGTCAAAGACTGTACTGATGAGCTCTCCTGAGATGGCGAGGAAAAGCGTTAGCATGCTCTGCCCCACACTGCCCCAATGCCTCAGGTCCAATTGCCGATCATTTCGTCTCCGAGTTGCTGGTGAAACCTCCAACCTTACCATGTTCCTCGCATTTGGGGTGAAGACATCGGCAGGGCGACACCTTCATTCCCTAGGATTGCTTTCTTTCTTTTGGGTCAAGTCAGCCATAGCAGGAAACAGAACTGGTATAGTCAGTGTAGTTTGTCTATCCTGACACTTCGTCAAAAGAAATGATCAAATGATCAACAACGGCAGGGAAATGTACAGCCCGTAAATGGAAGAGCGGCGCGCATGTATTGATCCAAACCGCACACTCTTGGACAGGGGCATCCTGCTTGGGAAGAAAGGGCCGTTCAGGGTTGACCACTTTTGTAAGACATTCTTGTAGGACACTTATGGGACACTCTTGTAGGACATTCTTGTGGGACACTCTTGTCGAACACTCTTGTAGGAGTCGCTTGTACAGTAGGTCACTCCTGCCGGATATGTTTTTTGCGCTGCACATTTGGAGGACACTGTCTTCAAAACAACATTCGCACGAGACTTCCTGTCTTCAAAACCAGCATTTCGTACAGAACTTCTTCTAAAATAATAGTGACGCATCAACCCTTCAAAACGACTTCCTCCATCCATCGAATCCAAGACCTGTGCCAAAAGCTTCCCAACTGCAGGATGTTTGTCAAACACCGAGTTGACGTGATGACGAGTGGAGCCAACAAAAACATCAAACAGCACGAGGCGAAAACTGGTCCAGCCCTCAAACACCCAACTTGGATTTGCTTCAGGAACCGGGACAAAGAACTCTTCCCCGGAAGGGGATTCATCCACAGGGGGGGGGAAATCACCTAAACCAAGCCGGGCAAAACTATATAACGGGAGAAATCACCTTCGCGCAGCGCATCCGGGAAAACAGAACCGAGCCGGCTCGACCGGTGCCAAGGCTGGCGCCTCTGCCAACAAGCGGGGGAAGTCGCCTCGTGGCCGTGGCCCCCCAAAACGATGCTCCACCATGCCTGACACAACAAGGTCCGATCATTTCCAGGTTCATGTGCCCCCAGTCAACCGTCCGCGCTGGTCAGGGCAGCCGTGCGACTGCGCAAGCTCGTCTGGGCAAGAGTTCTCGTGCATAAAGAGTTCAAATCTACAGTAGTCTGCCACAGATTGGGTGATGATGACCTGAGTGCAAGCTAACAATATAATGAGAGTCTTATATTGAGACAGTGGCTGCAGGACCAGGACTGGCAACACCACCTAGCATCACACCAAAGGTGATGGGACTGAGAAAATGTGCTTGTGTGGTTCTGTGGTTGCGGCATCCCGGCCCTCTGTGAATGTCGCTCCAATTTTTTTAAACTTAGTTTAACATAGTCGCCTGTATAGCGACACTCTTTGCACCTCTGGGGCAGGAATCCTGTTAATTTAGGTTAATTTCCTGGGAATCCAATGTCCCCCACCCACACACACACACACACACACTCACAACATTCCGCACTGCTAGTTTTGGCTTGCTTCAATCCTTTCAATTGGCTACTTGCCCGTGGCACCCTGAAGTAGAACCAAATCATGCAGGATTGGCGACTGCGAGATCCAAACCCAGCTCGTGGAGAGCACCTAGAAAGAGATTGGTCCATGTTTGCACCCCCTATATAAAATTAAACAATCATGGAAGTGGAACGTACCGTAGACGCCTGGAGGACAAAACAAATTCCTCTACAATGGGGCCATGGTCAGCATCCATGATCGTTGGAGGGAGGTTATCACATATTATCCCCATACGGTTTGCATCCTCCGCTGCAAGATCCCAAGCCTAACTCGGATTGAACTCCTGTACGGACGGTCCATCGAGGCAAAGACCGCGAAAGACCGTGTCCAGCTTCCTACCTTCTCATCGGATGCCGGAGCTGTTGCGCGTTTGACGTGTGCTGCACCAGTGACACTGAAGCAGTAGAAGATCAGCACCAAAAGCACCAGAGTCCAGAAAAGCGAGCCCATGGTGCTCACGATGGAAAAGATCTTAGCGGCCAGACTGGGACCGAGTTGCAGGGGGATGGCATTCCAACTCCAAAATGGAACACAATGGAACACAACAATGTCTTGGTCTAAAGCCACCTTGGCCGGAAAAGGACTTACAGTATCTGTTTCAGGGCCACCTTGGCGGCCCTAGATTAGAAGTTTCCCACAAATACGTGACACCCAATAAGTCAAATGGTCTATGGTCATAAGCATCCATGGCATTTCGATCAGGGAAACCCCAGCACCAACCGCTGAGACACTCCGAGCCTTGTACAAAAGTCCGGCTATCTTAGTGGTACCCAGTGGTTCACCGTACTTGTATCAGGTGTTCCTGCGTTCGACTCATTTCCTGACAATCGATGCCGGGGTCTCGGTCGCCTCCGACTTGACTTCACTGAGCTCTGACATGGATCTGGATCGTCTGGATGATTGTGTAGTTGGGCCACAGGTTTGGGTCCGAACTGGTGACCGAGAACACCTCGTGCAGGAATCCATACATGCAATTCTAACGGAATTCCTCTCTCATTTGACTCCTGATCCTCCCTGACCCCTTCCGGCTGCCCAAGACCCGCAGCTCCTACCAAACCCCGCGCGACGTCCACGTCCCAGGTGCAATCGTCCGCAGGGATCCGATGTAGCGCAACAAGCGGATGACGCGCACCCCACGGAGCGTCCGCGCGATGCGCACGAAGCGCATGACCCGCAGGTTGGCCTCAGAAGGGTGGGTCTTTCGCTTGGATGGTCGTGGCCTTTGCCTGGCACTTCTGGGTTCAAATGTTAGCTCCAAACAAGCTACACGTCAGAGGCGCGCTGTTTGTTGCGGATGTCTTGGTCCAGTGTGCCATAGTCAGGAAATGCGTTCCTCCATGCAAAGGCCACTGTTCTTCTTCAAAGGTCGTTGAAACGAACATCCATGAGGAGTAGAACTGAGAAAACTCTAGCACTCGTCATCTACCAAACTGCAATCACCAAAAACAAGCGGTTATCCCAATAGCCACGGCAAATCAGTTTATGCACACTACATACATTTATATACATATCATATATGTACAAACAAACTGGTCGTTTCTATAGGCAATCACACTTTGATGGCACTCGCAAAACACCTTAAGGTTCTGAGCCATGAGAGAGAGACAACGGTTGAACACTGTGAAAGTGAGACCTTGCAGCCATTGCATGAAAGAGAACAAGCGGATCGCGAAAAGGTGCTGTTCACATGTGGGCGACAAACCGCGGAGTCACGACACAGCACACTTTGATGGCATCCACGCTCAAAGCATAGGCCTCCGGTAAGGTCTTACTGGCACCCCCCATTTCCATCCAGAGGCGGGATGCTATCAAAGTGTGATTCCCTGATTGCTTTGGCTGTGACACTTTTCTATAACACAATTGGTCATGAGAGAGGACCACCAAGAAGTTCGACCCCACAAGGGGGAAGCAAGCGCCGCTCAGAGGTCGGGCTTTGTGGCTGTCCCAGTTCTCCCAGTCGGCGGAGCCAGCCCCGGTCGACTCGCTGCTCGCCGTGGCGCAGTGTCCATGTCGCTGGTCGCCAGCTCCACAAAGAACTCCGCGGTCACCTCCAAAGCCTCGGACGACCCGGGCGGGACGTGTCCTACTCGGGTGCAGGAAAGCATTTGGATGGTCAGCCTGGCCCGACTCCCATTCAACAGAAACATTCAGCAAGTCCAAGATTGATGTCAAGTCGCTGAGAGCACCACCACACAGAAGTCGAAAATGTTCCACCTTGGTGGGGTTCAAAAACACGGCTGAGATACAGCACAACAAATGACTATTGATAGCACCTCTCTGTCGGTATGTATATATATATATTGTTGTTGCGGGGCGCATTGAAAAATATTGAACATTGGATTGCATCCTTGACAGGGTTGTTGCCTCAACAGTATGCATACATGTAAATGTAAATGGGAAGGGCCACAAAAACATGTTCCGCAGTCCCTTCAGGTCAGCTTCTGACAATTTCTGGCCTTCCTACTTGTTCTCGACAAAGCGCATTTCCTCTTTAATTTTAGCATGCATTCCCACTGTCACTGGGCGGGCCAAGGCCAAGCACTACACGTTCCTGCATGGCAGAATTGCTATGAGGGGGTCAACACACAGCCAAGTTCTATCTGAATCAGCCCGATCCTGAGTAGCTCCCGGGCGGCATTCACACGTCCAACAAATACGCAAAGTGCGCCGGCCTCTATCATATTATGGATTATAAGATATAGCGATATACCCTTGAAGGTTTTTAAGGCCTTGAACCCCCAGCAGACTCTGGCCAGCTCAAATCTACCTACCACTATAATTGAGTAGCATTTGAGCTCACTAATACTCCCACTAATGCATACTGTACCCTACAATCAGCCGGCGTGACCCACTCAACCCCATCCAGTACAATCGCTAATATCCTGTGTCTCGGTCGGGTTGCCATGGCTCGCGACCGCAGAAGAACTTCCGTGCACCGAAACAAGAAATCATCCCCAGCACCTCAGTGCTCGTCGATCTGAACGCGCGGAAGAGGTCAGAGGCGGAACTGTGCGTGTCGAAAGAGTGGCTCTCATAGTTGCGAAAAGAAAATGGGACAAGAACATGAAAGGCCAGCACAAGGTGTCACACCTGAAAATGAACGAATTGGACACCGTCAAGTAAAGGAGTCCACATGTCATCCCGCCACTATGCGGAGCAGGTCTCGCCTCGCAAATGAAAACGAAAACGATGAGGAGGTTGATCTCAGCGAACCAGGCCTCAGGCGTCACAAGTTGGTGCTGCTAGATGATTCCACCTCAACACTCAACACGAAATTGCAATAAACATGTCAAATATAATCACATCATAAGAAACATTAAGAAACACAACTCCTGTTCAGAGTGCAGAGGTTCTACCCCACCTGGGCCAACCTCCAAAGATAGCCTCAAAGATAGCAAACGCATGGAATGCAGAAACTGCATTCTGAGGCAGACTATCAATGGCCTCATAGGGGGCCTCCCTGGTTTTTCAGCACCTTGACCCGAACCGGGCGGACGGCTAGGACAGTCAACTGTCCGAAGCTCGACCGAACTCCACCAGCCGGGCTTCGGGGGACTCCCCATAGGGCATGCCGGAGGCCACATCCACCTCAACAGGGCTTGCCAAGGCCATTGCGGACGGATCCGTCCCAGGAGATGGGCCATGGTACAATGGGTGTGCAATAGGGGGAAGGCCCTTAAACAATTGGATTCACAAGGGTTTTGGCCAGTTCGGTTTCTTCTTTGGCACGTCCACGTGTTTCTTTCTCACCGACTTGTGGGCCCGCGGTATCGACACGGAACAATCATTGAAAAAATAGAAGCCGATCTTTTTGTTGAATTCTGATGGGTTTCAAGCACTAAACCTGTTCGAAACCATTGAAGTTCCAGTAACTCACATGGCCTCAATCCCCAGTAGGACCAGGTTCATCAAGATCAACGCGAGGATGGTGTAGGTGAAACTCCTCGACAGGAGGATCCTCTGCATCCAAGCCTCAGGCATATCACGGCTGACGCATGCTGGTGCCAGCCCATCTCACACGTAATGATTGACCTTTGAAGATTATTAATGAGAATTTGCGTGATGGTGAAATCATCCCAGCCACCTCCGCTCTCACCCATGTGGAATCACAAACGCTCCTTCAAGTGGGCACAGGCGCAAAGTCACCATGCATGTACATGTACTGAACCACCACCACCACCACCACCAACACCAGCGGACACGCCAAAGTTCCACACACCAAGAGGATGACTTTGAGGTCTCCAGCTTCACCTGCGGAACCGCCGAGAGCTGCTTGGAATCGCTGGGATGGGTAGACTTGGAAGTGTCCAAACCCAGAGACCTGTAAAGCCGGGTGCTGAAGTATGAGACTGGGGAGGGTCCTGGAACCGGTCGGTCGCCAGTGCGGTTCGGTCAGGTGCAAAGCAGCGCCGGAGCAACTGAGATGCCTGGATTTCATGGATGATCATGGTCATCTGGCCTTCTTCTTCTGCTTCTGGACTACTTCTGCCATCAGTGCTTGGCGACCGTGGTCCCAGGTCCGAGATGCTCTTTTGGACCTGAGAAGGATCGGCTAGCTAGTATGGGTGCCTGTGAGAACCAGAGCCGCAACATGTCGTGGGTGAGAAGTACAGGAATGCTGTTCTTATTCCCATTGAGCAGGACAAGGAAGTCCTGTTCTGTATGTACTTGAGAGAGGACGGGGTGAACGAAAGGTAGCAGGCAATCACAAGTAACCCTGGTAGAAGTCCACGACGGCGTGAACCGGCGCAGGGGGGATTTGATGACGAACAGAATCAACTCTTACAGGACCAAATTCAATGCACAATCCCAACTCCTGATTGTAATACATTTTTGCTAAAGCAAGGAGAACTCAGGTAGTTCAAGCTACCTTTCGCGATTAGTTACGCACTGCCATCTCTTGTCACAGGCCCATTTCCAGATGAATTCATAAGTGAAGATTAGTTAGGCGATTACCCAACGGCGAACCCGTTTCTCTTCGACAACAATCACCACAACGTGTTTCAAACGTGATTCCTTGTCAAACGGGATGATGCATGCATGCATTGTGTGATTTCGTCACCTCTTCCTACTACAAACGGCCCCACTATAAATAGCGATAAAATGCGATATGTAGAAAAACATTTGTGCGGGCTGACCCCAATAATGTTTTGAATTAATTGTGCCCTTTGTACACACTTATTCGTGCAACAAACTCTCTGATTTCGGGCTACGAATGTGCCATGTCAAATTCCGTATTATATTTGCTAACTGATGGCGGCGAAGAACCAATAAACATAATTATTAACTGATGGTTTTGTGAACAGACCGGCACTTTGGTTCTTGAACCAGTTCCCGCCAAAACGAGACTTCAACAAACCATCCCCTTGACAATCAAAATGTCCCTAGCATCCCGTAGTGAGGAGCATGCTGCATAGAATTTTCATATTGGCCCCTGTTGAGAAAAACTTTAGGGGCGTGGAATTGTTTGCAATGCTGTGCTGGCGTTCAAATTCAGGATTTGTTGTTTTGCACGACCCTGTGGCAAATTAATTGGCCAAGTAAAGCAACAGCCAAACCATTTTGCACCGGTGCTTGTCATAGGTATCATTTAGCAGCTATGTGCGCTAAACTCACTTGCCTGGCAGCTGACACCCGCGGAGCTGGGTAGACAACAAGATCAACAAGTGTTTTCAATTGCAAACGGTGTTTTTTTCTCATTTAGCCATGGACAGCTGAACAGCCATGGGTGAGTCCACCCTGCCTTTCTTCACATGAATGATTCGATCGGATCGGGAACACTTATACACGGAATCAATCATAAGTGCAATGCTTCAAATGCACCTTTTTATCTATATTTAAATATATAACTGTAATGATATATACATGTTTTCCATTCGTCACTGTGCCGCCAGGCCGCTGTCCACTAGTGGTGCTCTTACGCAATGGGGTGCCCAGGTCTTCACTGGAATGGTTTCCAGTGCTGCCAGGAGGAGTGGTGAAGTGTTGGAAGACTGGCGACTGGGGATGCTGCTCCTCCTGCAACACATGGATGTGGTCAAAACCGCGATACCTTGGTTGACCGACCTTGGAAGGTCAAATTACATGATGTTGGGGCTCCAAATGTTTACCCATCCCCACATCAATCGCTTGGGGTGTGTGGTTGGGGCAACCAGAAGGGGCTCATTCGGAAAAAGGAGGACAGCATGGGTATGCATTGCGTGGGCTGAATTCAGTGCAGTGCGATTCAAAGCAATGAGCACTAAAAACATGTGTATTTTTAGGTTAGATTTATGCTCTCGCGAAGTCGGCAGTACCCACCCTACTACAAACATCACCTCTTTTTGGGGTGTGTGGCCAAAAATTTGATCCGATCCGCCAGCCCACTCCACCATTTACCAAATTTTTTGGGATTACAAGCAGGCCAACGGTTGTGCCTCAGAAACCCCCGTCCTGTTGCATGTCTAACACTTTGTGACTCGGCCGCGCGCCCTCAGGCTTGGGATGTATCTCCGACGGCTCACACTTCACAGCCTGACAGTTGGCGGAGTGCGAGAAGGGCATCGTGCTCAATGCACAAACACATTCCACAGGAACCCTTCAACGAACAACGTCCACGCCCGAACAATCTGGCGACATTGTGACAAACGGTTCAGGCCGCCTCAAGGTTCTCAGACGGCATGACCGTGGTGAGGTCGGAATAGACAGAACTGGAAATTACCATGTGCATCTTGACTTCGTGCGTGAGGGCCAACAGGATCCTCAAAGGCTTCGCTCCGCGGAGCAAAGAAAAACTAGTGACACCCAAGTTTCACCCCAAAGGATAAACAAACACATTTTATCCCCACTTGGGGGGGCCATCGGGGGCCTGTCTTTTCAATCCCAGCGGCGCAGTTTGTTTTTGAAATTCTTCCTGGATGAAGTTCCGCAGGTTTGATGCCTGCAAAACTGGGGCCCAGCAGGAACGAACCGCAACAAGTGCTTGCACTGGTGTTTGCTGAGCGCGGGTTCTTTTTCGGTTCCAAACAGGCGGGGCGCCAACAGGTCGCGGAAATGACGATCGGTCAAATATAATCATTGAGACTGAGTGCCTCCCAAATTTATACAAGTATGGTCAACGCACGCGCATCACAACCACAGAGAGGAATCCCAACAGCACGAATTTCATCCACACACAAGGTTTACTTTGGCAGTTCCTCTATGGATGTTGACTTCCACGGGGGGGGTCTAGGGAACCATTTTATAGCTACAAAACGGTGTGCATTGACCTCGGCACCAGGAGTCTGGCTATATTATGAGGATGAGTGACCTCACAGAGAATTTCATAAATTGGGGGGCTGACCTCGAAGCACATCTCCAACATACATGAGTAGCACTATAAAATGGCAAGGCGCCCCTGCATAGAAAGAGCATAGGACATGAAAAATAACTTCCAGAACCCCAAACCATCTCAATGCCATTTATGGCACAGGGATACATGAAATGATGTTTTACCACCTGAAATTTGCTTATACTTTCACCCTTTAGATATCTCTACATCTCTCCATGCACTCTGCACTTTTGTTTGCAGGTGGTTGTTGTTGGCCTTGTACATTCCAGGCAAGTTGCCCTCCAGATCTTCCTAGGTTATACTGACATGATCTTGAATGACCCCAGAGACAGAAAGCACCATATTATAAAATGGCAAGGCTTGACCTTCCCAGGGTCCATAAAGCTGTGCCCCAAAGACTTGCCCAGCCTCTTGGAAACTCATGGGTCATTATTTGGGTGTACTCTAGCAACATTATGCACCCTGGGAAGGTCACTCCTTGCCATTTTATAGCATGGTGGTTTCTGGCCAAGCCCAAGCAGGCTAGAAGGTTGACACTGATGCTGAAGTTTGCTTAAGTTTTACTATTCCCTACATAGGCCTAGGCCATTCTAAATCCCTCCAACCACTGCACTGCTTGTGTTTCCAGTTGCTTGTCGTTGCCCTTGCGCCCTTGTGCTTGTTGCCTACTAGACCTGCCAGGAATATAGCCAAATGACCCATAAGGGTCCAAGAGACTTCGCAAGTCCTTGCAGCACAGCTTCTGCCAACAAAAAGATTTTTTGTCTCCAACCCGGAGTCACACAAACATGTATACATCTCTGAACAGCACTGCTCACATACTCTTGATTCCATAGCCCAAAATCAATCACCATCCTGGAAACAGTCTGTCTTTCTATGAAATGGCGGGGTGCAAAAATCACTCACGATCCTGGAAACAGTATGTTTTCTATGAAATGAATGGGTGTATCCCCCAAAAGTTAATACATAGAACGTTTAATAGAGGGAGATGACCCCCCCCCATTTCATAGTGGATATTTCAACATACATGTTCCTCTTGTACGCCCCTCTGTGCACCCTGCCTCTGACATTCTTCGCGGACTCTCCATTGTGCACTGCAAATTCCCACTGGGCCCAGCAAAAACTGCGAAACCAGCCACGAGCAAGTCGAGATTTTGACAGCACCATCATGAATCTCACTGGTTGATGGAACATGTACCGTGTATTCATTAAGTAGCACAGCAGCCCCCCGAAAAAAAAAAAAAAAAAAAACATCCGGGGCTACCGGCTAGCAATTTTGGACCACCCACGGCTGGCTTCTTAAAACGAACACAAAAGGAATAAATGCACAAACACATGCCGGAACACGTGTCCAAACAACTCTCACCCGTGATGGACGAAAATGTCAAAATGCGTGACCATATGCATTCCGGAACAATTGCTCAAATTTGATGGCAGGACATGTGTGGGAGACGAAGTCGACAAATATGCCATACTACACGGCAGAATCCTGACAACGTTTGTTATACTTCTTGCGAGAACAAATGTCACGAGCACATTGCACATTTCATTTCATTTCATCCTGCATGCTTGAGAGGTGGAAACCACCCACCGCGGTATACTGTGAAGCAAAACACGGCTAAAGTATGGTCATCATACGTGGCGTCCACGGACAAACGTCACGAATTCATGCGAAAATTGCATCCACATGTGGTCGTCCGTTGGCCAAGTGTGCCTTGGATAGCCCGGACTTCGTCGGAAATGGTGGTTGCCATCGAATGGATCTTTGGACCCAATGATCTGCAGGTACATCCACAACATAGGTCCCAAACGCTCAATGAACTTCCAGAATGATGCAAGGCCTTGTCTTGCAGGAATGTTGGGATCTATGCTGTCCACTTTTCCGATATTTGCGGCACCAATGTCCAACTTTGCCAAATCCCTTGCATGAGCAACACGGTGACCTGAGGCAAATGTAGCAACAGGGGTTCCGACTGCACTGAAGAAACGAAGCCAGCCCTGTATATTCACAATTTTGTCACAAAGCATACTGCTGTTAGCAAAAATGCACTGGACGCCACCTTTCGGCTGAGCCACTGGCTGCCTCGTTCCCACGGCTTTTGTTCTTCCGGAAAGGCGGCGCAACGAGCTATGTACAAGGGACGCTGTCCTAGGTCCCCATGCCCCTAAACATTAAGGGGGGGCGGCTGGGGGGCCAGGACTCAGCGAGGCCTAAAACCGCAGGCAAAAGCCCGTCCGCGGGAAGATTAAAAAAGGGCACCCCTAAGCTACTCAGTACCTGCTGTCTCCAACGCTTGCCGCTGCAATCTCTTCTCTCTCTCCTGCCTTCAAAAAGCTTCCATTCCACGTGAACTCCCACCCCCTGCATGGGGAGTGCCCTCTTCAGTTCAGTTCAGGCGCAGGTCAGCAGCCCCCACCAGCGTCGATGCCACCCGGCGTGGGCCCGCTGCACACGATGCGCGCTAGGGGCCCCCGATCTCGCAGGCGAGGAGGCACTTGCGGTTGAGGTCCGGTAGTGCCCCTGCGATCTGGCACTGGCATTGGTGGCCTGTAGTGCCCAGTGCGATCTGGCGGTTGCTGTTGTGGTCCGGTGGTGCCCACCACGATACAGTGCAATCACGCATGTGCAGTTGAGGTATAGCCCATTGGGACCTGCGAGGAAAGGAGAAGAGAAGAGAAGAGAAGAGAAGAGAAAAGAAAAGTGCAAACACATATATTCTTTGGTACTTACCACATGAGTATGTGGAAAAAAATTTTGTGTTTTTTTGACGCCAGGTCACTCTGGAGGCGGAATTGGTGGGATGTGCTCGTGACACAGGCATCGTCAGTGGCTCAGCTGGCGACGGTTGGGCCTCGTCGTCTACGGCGCCTCGCGCCGCAGCAAAGCCCTCTGCCGCGATGTCCCCCTGGCGTCCCCTCTGCGAGCCGACGGCCGCCCCCACCCGGGAGCCGCTCGCCACGATGGGCATGTCCTCCACATTGCCAGGTGCCGCAAAGAAACCCGTACCCTGCAAACACAAAGCCACAAGCACACAATACAAACACACAGCCAACAACTCACAATCCCAGGCACACAATCACAAACACAGAGCGACAAACACAATCACACACAACCGCAAAACAACCACGAAACGCAAGACTACAAACACACAATCACACAACCGCAAACACAACCACAAACACCCAATCACAAAAACACAACAACAATCACAAACACACAGCCACAGTCACAACACACGCGCTAGATTGCAGCAGTTAGGCCTCGTGCCACAGAAACACCAACCTTTGATTTGCCCTGCCGCCTGATTAAGGCAGGACCCAGCAGCAAAGGCTGTTTCAGAGACAGCCAGTCAAGCGGACACACTGAAAAAATATGTGTCTCCCACTGCATCCCCTTTTTGCTGCAAGACGCCTGAGGCTGTCTCTTGGTTCACTCTGAACCTGCCTTTTTCAAAGGCAGGTGACTCTGAAAATCACCTCTTATCTTTTCTCGCTCCCCGGCAGGAGCTCCTGAAGGTAGTTCAAGAACTAGGTCCTCCCGGCAGAGGTTAGCACTGACTACAATCAGGCAGGTGATTTCATTTACTCTCCTTCCTTGGGAAGTCTGAAGGGCTGGGCGCGGTGGGCCCGCTTGGAACTAGTATTGAGCCACACAGCAAATGGGGGATTTGGGTCAACACAAAATCCTAAAAGGACTCATGTGTCTCCCACTGCATCCCCTTTTTGCTGCAAGACGCCTGCGGCTGTCTCTTGGTTCACTCTGAACCTGCCTTTTTCAAAGGCTTGTGACTCTGAAAATCACCTCTTATCTTTTCTCGCTCCCCGGCAGGAGCTCCTGAAGGTAGTTCAAGAACTAGGTCCTCCCGGCAGAGGTTAGCACTGACTACAATCAGGCAGGTGATTTCATTTACTCTCCACGATCCCCGCTCTTGTCCTGTGAAGGATGAAAAAGGGGGCCAAGAAGTTCTACAACAGTAAAAGGGAAAGGCCACTCAGCTCGCACTGTCAAGTGCTCAGTTCACAATGGAAACCATTTGACAATCATACTCTTGGCCTGGTCAGACATAGCCAGTGCTGGAAGCCGTGCTAATCCGTCCTGGATGTATAATTTAGCCGCGCGGATGCTATGCCAGCGGCCACGGTCCAAGGCTAAGTCGTAAGAGAAACTCCGTTGAAAGAGGTCTGTTGCACCACCTCTCCTAAGGCTGTATGGCCTAAAGCCCAAGTGGGTGACATGAAACAGTCGGCAAAACTCTTTAAAACGCAATCTGAATGATGCTGGAGTGCCCGTCCAGAGCAAATCAGAAAGCACATGCTGCTCAGTACGAGCAGCCAAAAGAGTCTCAACAACCATAAGCACCCAGGGGTGTTGAAGTGGAACAAACTCCTCAGCTCCCTTATTGAACGAAGTCTTTGTTTCATCCAATCGAACAAGACCAATGCCATCCCTGATCAGAATGTCTGATCCCCGTAGGTGAAGAAGTTCGCCAGTGCGAAGTAGCCCCTCAAAGCCTAAAAGCAACAGCCCTGCAAAAGTCAAGTCCCCCCTGTGGATAGCCATTGCGGCAAAGGAGAATACGAGTTCAGCAGTGAGAGGTGGAGCCCTGCACGGGATTTCCAGTTTTCGCCACAAACGAAATAATTTCCAGGACTGCCCTATGCGTCCTTTTGCCCACGGCATGAAGAACTGCAAACCGCAGAGTCCACAAGAAACCTGATATAGGGGCCGGCCAGTCTCCCAAGAATTCTCCACCCAGGCACTGACTGCCTCATCCAAGTCGTCTTCACTTGTCAGATGACGGATCCAAGGCAGTAGCTTCCTAGTAAACTATGTAAACTTATAGTATTGTGTCAAAGTCTTGTGGGTGACCAACCGATCCTTAAGGACAATGCCTTGCCTCTCCCGGGCGCGCTCGGCTTTCGACCGGCGCCCGAGCACAAAAGAACGAGTGTTTCGTCCCATTAGGCACGAGATGCATCGTCCGTGGGGTTCTGTGTGGATTCTACATGACCTATAATGAGGTAGATGTTGAAAGCTAGAAGCAACGCGTTCAACTGCTGGAGGATAAAGTTGAGCTTCCGAGAACCAGACCTACCCTTGGAGATGACACTCATGCAAACAAAGGAGTCAGTCGCATGGAAAATCCTGACATCTGTGGCACACCGGCGAAACACATGATACTTGAGAGCCAGGAAAATGGATCTAAGCTCGAGTGCATTGATGTGCTCATCATGCTTCCACCGACACTTAAAGACCGGTGCCCCGTTCCACCAAGATGCCTCTACACCCTGGCGGGGAAAAGCACGTGGGTTCAAAATATCTCCCGTTGCAACACGAACATCGGACCCAGTGTGGTTGACCTTCGTTAGGAGCACCCGGTTAAGGTCTGAAACACTGACCGTCCTAGTGAGTGCTGTGGCCCTGTAGCCGTACTGCAGGAAACGACCCAAGGGAGCAACGACACGAAGAGGCGTGCGAAAACCCGGTGCCAAACCCATCCGTTGTGTCAACCATCCATCATAAGTCATCTGGGGGGAGGAATTGTCGGCACATGGCAGCTCCGCAGATCACAAATGAGTACACCGAGAACGAATCGCCAAGTAGCGAGCACCGGATGTCTTCAACAGCACGTTCCCCCTGTTGTTTTTGCTGAGAGGCTGACAAGCAAACGGCGGTGTGCTCGTACCCGTAGCCCAGCAGCAGTTCCCGCTCACTGGCGGTGGCCAAGCGCCAACGAGAGTCCTGCCAAAACAAGAACTCAGGGGAATACTGGTAAGGTGGATACCGAAAGTTGTCAGAGCGCCACTTGGCCACTGTAGCCTCTGAGCACCTGCGAAGGCCCGCAGGCTTTGGAGGGGTCTAGCCCTTGGGATAGCCTTCATGCATGTAGGTAGGATTGTGCCCTGCTCCCCACCGGGCCACTGCCACCCCGGCTCAGCCCACTGAGAAAACTCGGGGTAAGTGGCCTCTGCATGGACCCGCCTCCAATAAGCATGTTGAGTCACCCTCACATCAGGAAAGACGTTTTCCAGAGCCTCTGAAACCCAAGCGAATCTTGGCCGCCTCATAGGCACAGAATCACTGCAATCCAATTCATAAGGTAGGGTGTGAAACATACCGGAGATCTCTTCAGCCGCACTCCGGTCCATCGACGAGACGTTTTCGATGGTTCTTTTGACTGCTACGCCGGGTCCAAACACTCTTCGAAGGAGGTCCTCGATCCGCGGTATTTCATGCACCAACGAAGATGATGGGCCCTCGAGCCCCTGCCGGAAAGCCTTGGCACTGGACAGGTCCACGCAGGGAAACCCTGCCCAAAGATGAATCTCTCGGGCCGAGGGGAATTCGAGCAGCCAATCCTTGACCATTGCCAAGTCAACCAGCCGCACATCGGGCACGGTTTTGACTTGGGGCCAACGCTTCTCTACTATCCGATTAGCCGGTGCAAAGAGCTCCACCGAGATCAAGCCTAAGGGCCTGATGTCCAAGATGTCATAAATCCTGAAACAACCGCCTATTCCGTTGAAGAGGGAGAGCACCAAGATGGGGGTTGTGCCTACATCACTGCTCCGTGCTATGGAACTGAGAACGAAATCACGCCCCTCGACACCAAGCTCGGTTGCGACACCTACCGCTCCTCCCCTCATGGAGGCATCGGACGCCGTAGTGGACGAGTCGATGCGCGCTCCCATGAAAGTGTGCACACATGGAGCCAGGAGGATGAGGTTCCATAGTTCCCTGCGGGTCTTAAGAACCATGCTTGGTGTTGGGTGTGCAGCACTAACGAAGTTCCAAACCTCCTGCAAGACCCCCATCACCGGCCGCCGAAACTGTAATGCATGCACCCATCGACCAACCACGATCTGAACTAGTTTCTTTCCCAAGAATCTTTGGTTAAGTAGATAGAGGGTGGCCTGGATGAGTTTGATAAAACGCTCCCCGGAAACCGAAATGGTCTGAGAGGAGCCATCGATCCATGCACCAAGTTCTTGAATTGTTTCAGCATCCGACACGCGTTTCTTCACCGACGAAACCAAGCCAGCACGATCCCAAGCATCCTCTACATGCTCATGAAGTGCCCGGCCAGCTTCTGTCTTCCCTCCTGGGTGTCTCCTCTGGCCTACGCAAAAATTGTCTAAGTACACGTGCCACCAAGGCCAGTCGCGTGCAGAACTCTGCTGGACGCAAGCGACCAAGAAGGGGGAGAAAAGCCACTGACTCTGCTACTTCTTGCGTAACCGCGACTGAGGAGACCCACCCCATTGGAAGTACATTGCAACAAAGAACGTGAACCCGATCGTCGTTCAAGCCGATCACCGAGCCTCTGACCCTGACATTAAAGGCTAAGTACTTATGCCAAGCCGCCGGAAGTTTGAACAAGTAAAACGCCGATGCCATGTCGCTCTGATATAGCCCAAGTGACTCGTCTGGATCTGTGGTGATCCCGAGCCAAGATGTGATCGAAGGCAGTTTCCTGACCGAGCCCACAATCGGATTCATCAACGAATTGATTGGGATGAGGTTCATGATCAACCGCAAGGTAGACCGGCCGTCACTCAACTTGGAGCTCTTCTCCACACCGAAGAGTCCAGAAAGGACAGGTTGCCCCCTAAATGCAAAAACCTCCTCGAGCGGGATCCACGCACAGATATTACGATCGACCAAATCTCGTCCCAAATGAACCATTTCCTCATGGGTACAGTGTACCTTCGCCTGCAAAGGGGGGAGGTCCTGGCCAGAGTCCTCTATCACCAAAAGTTCGGGGTGTTCCAAAAGCCTCCTAGTGCCATGAGATACCAGATCGAGAACGTCGACCGAACCACCATGGTTACCCGGAGGAAGTGCGGGAAGAACCTGTTCCCGGGTCAACGGATGGCAGATCGACAGCTCCTCCCCCGTATATGAGAGTCTCACCCCTTTTAGCTCTTGGCGGATTCGCTCAAGCTCGCCATGGTGGCAGCCTCCCAAATGAAGAAAACGCTCCACTGTCCTGGTCAAGGAGGCCACGGCACGGCCCTGCACCTTCGTGGTCGGGCCTGGCGCCAGTGGCTGTAGACTACCGCTCACCCCATTAAGCCCAGCCAGGGCGCAGAACAGCCAGGCCTCCACCTGCCAGCGTTCCGCGAATCCTGGCTCTTGGACTTGAGACAGGCGAGAAGCCATCACAACTCCTTTGAAGCCCTCCAGCTCCCCAAGTGGAATCGGAAAAATCGAACCTCGGCGGGGTCCGACTTGTGACATCTTGCAGCTCTCAAAAATGATCTGTCGTAGTGCTCTGGTGAAAACGTGCCGCTCCGAAGCCTCCACATGCACTAAAAGCCAGGCGATGCTGCACCCCAGTGATCCCAGCGTGCTTGTATTCAACAGCGCCTGTGTGAAGACTTCCAAGCCCATTTGAATTGTATCTGTAGTGAAACTAGCGATGAGCCCGGCATCTGCCAGCTCCAGGGCCCGCAAGGGGCTCATCACTTGTCGCCCGCCTTCGGGCCACTGTCGTGTTGCTCCTTCTCTCTGTCCTTGGTCTTCTTGTGCTTGCTCTTGCTCTTCTTCCCCTTGCCTTTCGGTTGCCACCAATGTGACTCTTCTTCGTTTGCCTCTGCATACCAGCCGCCTCCTTTCCTGGGTTTTCCTTTTCCTCGTTGAGGGATCCATGAGCTGCTGGGGTCCTGCGCCTTTGTCACCTCCCTGCCGTGCTTCCGTGCCGCCAGCAACAAACTGTCCTGCTCTTGGCGGAGCCTCGTCCCCAGCCAGCTCCTCTGGCACGGGTCCGGGGTCGCCACCATGCTCTGCTGTTGAACCAGGATGAGTCTCGTCCTCTGAATCCCTGACTTCCTCCAGGCCAGCTTCGCGTGGTGTTTCTGCCCATTTCCGGGCGGAACGAAGGGCCGAAACCGTGAGGTGCTCTGCATAGCCCTCGAGGCTGTACCAGTTGAAACTGCTTACATGGATATCTCCAAGGTCCTCGTGGAGGCAGGGGTCGGAGGCGCAGAAGTGTAACCTCCCACGCTTGCGGTTGAACTGTTGCGACAACTCTTTGCTGAGCGCCACGTTCTCTCCTCCAAGACTCTTCGCCTCCACTGTCAAGGAACCATCTGCCCTGTTGAGCTGAACCTGGATAACCATGAAAGCAACCCATTGCGAACTGTCTGTAGGATGTGAACTGTCCCGTAAATCGAATGCCACAATGTCTCCCCTGACCGTGGCGAAGCTGCTCCATTGCAAGAGATCCAGCAATGAAAAATGCTCACCCTCTTTGTGCACACGTCGGCTCATGGCAACCGGTAGATACTCTCCCTGCCTCTATCGGCAGAAAGGGTGTCCAGCACGGCAGGCGAGAGCTTGCGATGCACTTTCGTATGAGGTTTGTCCTCAAGTCGTCCAAGTCGCTGGTGTTTACGACCTGCTCGATGACGGGGTTTGTGAGAATGATGGGACCTGTGACTCTGTTTGCTTTCCTTCTTTGATGTCTCGGCCCGGTTGGAGTGACGTCCACCAGCCGATGCGGTGCGGCTGCCCGGTGGTGGCCCAGGCGGCTCTGGGGGACGACGCGCTCCGTCTCCCACCGGCCTCGGATCCTCAGCCTCTGATTCTGTCTCCTCTTCCTCAACCGACTCCTCCTCGTAGTGCACGGGGGACTCCTCCTTAGTGTCCTTGTTTGCCTTGCTCTTGGGAGCAGTCGTGTGGTGCGCCGTTGAGGCCTGGGCCGGGCGCTTTCGGGCAAGTTCTGGCCTCTCGGGCGGCTCCCCCTTGGCACGTTGCGAAACGGCCTGGGCGGAAGCTCGCTGGTTGGACTGGATGCCTTGGGTGAGATTCCTCAAGAACCTCACCTGCCTCACGGTAGACAAAATGAGGTCCTCGGCCAAAGTCCTAGCCCCCGCTGAAGCCCAGTGCCCAGCGAGTTCCTTAGTGAGAGCCTCGCCTGATGAGCACCCAAGACACCAGGAATCTCCCTCAGCGGGTGCCACCTGGTGGCATTTATGGCACCGCATGCAACCCGCTTGGAACTAGTATTGAGCCACACAGCAAATGGGGGATTTGGGTCAACACAAAATCCTAAAAGGACTCATTTGTTTCGTGCCAAGAATTGACAGCTATGCCTAGCCATCGTTGAACCCACACACTGTCAGAAGGCACAAGTGAACTGGAGTTGGAAGGAGTTACTTGGCAACAGATGCTTGGCAAGTGCAAACCCAGGCCATGCTGCATGTTTGCGGTCCATGGCGTGAAAACAAGTCACAGAAATGCAATGGCGGGGATCACTCGAAGTAAAGTAATTTGACGGGACTATTCTGTCAAAATTAGAGTTGCACAGGTCGAGTCATACATGAGTGGGATTTATCAGTGAAGGGAACTGTGGATCTGACAAGACACGAGGCGACAGTTGTCATTACAAACCCAAAGATACCAATGAAGGCGTCGCTTTGGCGTCGCTTTTTGGCGTCGCGGTGGACGAGTAGACTTCTACAGATTTCTGGAACACCACAAAAAAGTGCCCAAATCCTTCAAAACCGTTCCTTAACCTCTTAAGTTCTTGGTATTTCTTGGTGTTGGCAAACTTGGAGGCCAAGCAAACACTTGCCAAAGCAAGGTCTCACCGAGTTAATTCCCCAAAGAAACCTTGGCCCAGCAAGTCCATGATTCCAGGCTTGAAGGGCTTGCTAGAATCAACGTTTCTTCGAGTGTGTAAGAAGAACCCAGGGCCCTCCAAATGTCCATCCAGGCGAAGACAGTTTTGGTGATTAGGGTTGTTGTGGCTGTGCGGCCATCCGGTTTTGATTACTTGCGCTCCCTACCTCTGATGGCTGCATTTTTTTTGCAGCATGACATGGGGCAGTGGGAAACACAATGAAACATCTAGCAGAATTGGCCTCAAAACGTTGAAGCCCAACAAAGACATCAAGAGCATTCAAGCCCTGACACTAGTCTGAGATATCAGTCATTACAGAAAAATCCAGAGTGTATAGGGATCATTCTCCAACCTTTGACAGCGACAGCTTGCTGCGCTGATCCACCCGCTACACCTCAGCTGATCCACCCGCGGAGGAAGGGCCCGCCCGGGTGTTTGCGTTCGGACGACGAGGACGAGAGAGAGATCCCCTAAATTCGCTGGGTGACCTTTAGGAAGGACATACTTTTGGTTGGCAGACGGACTAGATGCCTGCAATGTTGCCTCCGCAGCGCAAGGTGGAACGTTTGCTCGGGTGCGCAGTGTCGTTCTCTGGACAATCTGCCAGAAAAAAAAGAGGAAACCATATTTAAAGGAACAAGGAAACACTTCATGAAGACAAGGAGGCAAACATAGCAAAGAAGGATTCTGCAGTATGCGGGCATGTCTTTTTTTTGAGTTGGTTTTCGCAGGCGAGGCAAGCAGTGATTTCATACTGGCGGTTTACCTATATAGATTCATTTTGCTTGTTGCAGGCGGGAAGGATTTGATTCCACCTATCGCAGCTCGCACGCACAGAGTCTCCAGCAAAGATCTGCAAAGTGGGTGGAACAGAAAAAAGGGCATCATTCATGAGAAAGAAGAAGGCTCACTCTAAGCTCATCAGGGTTTTATGGATCAATGTATAATTCACACACAGTTCTGACTGAGAGTCAGAGTGCATCGCCAAAGGTGAAGCGGAGTGCAGAAGTAAAAAAGAAGAGAGGCAGCAGAAAAAAAACATGCACAATCCTGGTGGCAAAGAAAATCCCTCTTGCAGACTACTGTGCCGCTTTTCAGTGGTGAACACAAAGCTTTTGGCGTGTGATTTTGCCTTTACTAGCCTTTCTTTCGTCTGCTTTTGCCTTCACTGCAAGAAACACCAATGTTGCAGCGACTCTGCTGCGGTATGCAACATGACAAACAAGCAAGTCCTCGATGTGGAATAGCGAACCCTCCCGTACTCACAGCGGCACTGCAGGGATTGTACTTCAACATTGTACGATTAGACTTGTTTGCGACGATGCTGTGGCTTCGCGACTACATGCTTGCAAATTTATCCACTATGTCCATGCACATATGCACACATATTGTGGTTCGTTGCATCCTTCCTCGTCATTTTGATATTTGGGGTTGTGCAGAACATATCGACCTGCTTGTCCTTTGTTCTTCATGATTCTTCATGCGCCTCTGTTACTCCTGTGTACTCCTTGCATGTGAACTCTCAAACAGCTTTTGGGTGCTTGTTCTCGTCTCACATCGCTTGGGCGGTTTTTCTGTGCGTTCGTCACCACCGCGAATCGCGGTACCGAACGTCCCCCGAAGTATCCGGGCAGTTCGGACCACGAAGTACGATCACGTTCCAAAGCCTGACGCCACGACGGGCAGCCCTGGTAACGCACGCACGCGGTTCGTTGGACCGAAAACCTCAGGGCTCCGAGACAGATGGTCTCCACCACCGGGCTGGAACCGGCTGGAAAGGGTGGAGCCGGACTCCACCGCCAGTCCGCAGGATCCGCCGTCCGGGGGCGGAGACCGAAAGCGCGTACCTGCGTGGGGTGCCCGTTCGGCTGTTCGTACCTGCGTGGGCGGCATCGAAGAGAATGAGCGGAGCAGGTCAGACGTCAACATCTGTATGTTTGTGAAGCTTCACAACTTCAAATCGTCAAGTTCGATCCAAACAAGTTGACTTAATAAGGATACTTAAGGTGGTGCACGCAGTGAGGAGCTCGTAGAATCTACCCGGGAATTTGTGGTGTGAAGCTCCCGCACATTTGAAAGGCAAAAAACAATTTATGACATGTAGATCGAATCAACATGTACAACATGACATGTAGATTATTAAAGCCCCAAAAAAGAAGAGAAACAACATGTAGAGCTATGTATGCGCCGGAAACAAGAATTCCATAGAATTCCAGCGAAGACCAACCGGTGCGATCTGCGGGACTCATCGCGACGGCGTGCGCGACGCCGTGCGCGACTTCCAAGGCCACGATTGGCGGGAGCACTTCTATTGGAGGCCATCGCTTCTAGGGTGGAGGCCATCCATCGCTACGCGGTTGGAGGCCATCGCTATTAAGTTGGGGAGCACTTCCGAAGGCCACGAGCACTTCTTCCAAAACCTCCAACGATCGCGGTTCGGCGTGGGCACCGGGCACACGGGCCATGGGGAGAAACGCCGTAGACGGTAATCCCAGGAGGCAAAGGCAAGGGATGTGGGTGCTGATAGTGCAGGTCGAAGAGGGAAAGAGTGCATCACATGGCCATCCTCAAGTGATGACAGTCTTGGCATTTAAGTAGATCAGCCGATTTACAGCATGAGGCATCTGATGTTCTGGACGCAGATCTGCCGGAACGCAGTAAGATGCACGGGGTCGGGGAGTGGCAAAAATACCAAGAAGCCGTGCGTCCAGTGCCGCAGTACTGCAACATGTCCCATGTCTTCGCGGCATTTGCTTCGTCACACCGAAGCCTTCCGCCCCACGGTCCCGGAAATCACGAAATCCCCGGGACGGTCATGCCCGAACCGGGCGGCCTTGTCTACCGGGGCGAGTCGCCCGGGCCGAGTACCAGGAACCAAAGCCGCTCGGTGGATCGATCGCGCTGCCGTCGCGGCGTGGAGACGTAGGAAGGGAGGAGACGTTGCGTCGCCGAAAGAAAGGTGAACCTATAGAGCAATGGCCTCCAACCTAGTAGCTTCTTGCTTCTAGTAATGGCCTCCAACCGAATAGCGATGGCCTCCAGCCTATTTGAAGCAGAACCAACAGGTCTCTTCAAGGTTCCGACCCTGGCAGCTCCTTTTTCTGCCTCTTTCTGCACCTTTGGCTGATTCGAGTCAGAGTTTCGGACTGCTGCGTGGGCATTAGTCCATCGATGGCTGCAAGTGGAGGCCTGAGGTCAAAGGGTTCCTCTATGCAAACCGAAGAGCAATTTTGTGGGCGAACTATGACCTCCAAAAATCACCTGATGGGAACTACATCCTCTTAGGACCCTGAGTCTTTGGGGTGACCAAATGGTGATTATTGATATGTCCCAAACACTCCATGTATGGCATATTTACCTACATTGACCTCTGAAACCACCCCAATGTAGGCATATATGGCATACATGGAGTGTCTGTGTGTATTTGTCTTTTTTGAGAGGACTGAGGAGGACCGTCTCAGGACACTTTTTGGCCAAGCGTGGCGTTACGCCCATTGCGTCGGTTTCCTCCTATAACTTGTGGGACTTGTGGGAGGTTTTGCCTGGGAGAGTTCTTCCATGACAAAACTATAGTACACCTGTTGGGGCTTCCATGCTGGTCAGGTCTGCATATCATCGAAAACTCCTCATGACCCGCAGATTAGTACCAAAGAGACTGTAGTCACATCAGTTGTTTTTTACTTTGTTGTTGAACTGTGGATCCCTTTGGCCTTCTTCTATGAGCACCTGACTAAACACTTCTCAACAAAAGAACAATTTAAATCAATATGATTCATCATACTTTAGCCAGTCTGACTGGTCTGCGTCATTCACCAAATCAATCTCCACTCGCATCGCACCACCATCAACTATATAGTACACCTGGAAGGAAAAGCTCGCAAACGGCTCACTGCGCCTGTTCCGGTTGAAAACAGCTCTGCGGACTGTCCGCGAGAGGCTGCTATGGCGCACGGGCTTGATACACACTGTCGCTCAAATTGAAACTACAGTTTGTGCTTTGTTGCATTCCATCAGTTTGAGCATAGCGCAATGCATATATGCAATTCCTTTGAAACTTGGTTATTCCTTTGTCTTATAAAGCAAGGATGTGTCTTGTTCGCTGTTTTTGATGCCCATCGCCCACACCACAACACGTTGCAGCTGGGAGTGGAGAGGGATCAGCACACTCCGTTGATTTGGTGCCATTCTGTGGCCTCAGTGTCTCTCAGACGCCATAGTGCAACTCATGCCGAAGGACAGCTCGCCAACCTGAAGAGCTTTGAGGAGATCCCCCCGAACGGTCCTTCCCGAACGAATGTGACTTAACTTTCTGAATCCGTCGGAGTTGAAATAGCCGGTGGAGCTTACAAATGAATGGTGCAGATTGAAACTGCTGGGATATTATTGGTGAAGCTGCAGATTCAAACTGCTGGATGTATGAAGGTGGTGTTTGAATAATATGGAATTAAACATGGTGCATTATAAAGGAGATCGGTTACTTATATAATAAGGGTCTTAACAATTTGAAGAACCTCTTCAGTGCTTTTCATGTGCCGACTGCGCAGGGGTCCCCGAAACACCCCGAAGACCGGT